AATCGTCCGTTTTTTTTTTTTTTTTTTGCACGCGTGGCCACCCGGAAATGTTTTCGTTCGCAGTACGATTATTTTCCTGTTTTGAACGATTCCATCTCCGCGTAAAAACGCATTATAAACTATCGAGTGTAACCAGCGCGCGCGTTGTACACTTTTTATCATTTTGACCGCGCGTACAATCGAAAACATACGGTGCAACTTCATTATTTGCTGGATCTATATACGGGCCCTTTATAACGTTTTACGCCCAGAGAAAGTTTCTCTCGCGAAACATAAACACGTGGAACACGTTTTGCGCCCGGGGCGGAAACCCTGCTAATTATTGAACTGGTTTTATGCTTTGTTTATGAGTTTCCCAGCCAAGAAATATCGTTTCCGCGGGCTCGATATTTTCCCAGCATGACGCAACGAACCAAAAATTTATATATATATAAAAGGTAACGATTTTACACGTAAATTAAATCGAGACGAATTCCACGCATTTGGCGCGTAGTAGAATTTGACCAATATCTTCGAAAACATAAAAAAAAAGAAAAAACGAGGAATAAAATATTTTTGCAATTTTGAAAGACAGAAAGCCTGATCCATCCGTGAAAAAGTAATTTCTTTGAGTTTTCCATTCAACAAGTTTGCACACGATGTCACGGGCAGTATTTCCGATGAAACGTGAACAAATTTTTTTTTTCCAAACAAAGACCTGCTCAGACCTCGGACGGTCTATTTCTACGGGTTCTTTTTAAACATTCCACTTTAAAAATAACGCCACTCTCGTGCAAAAAAGTTGATCGATTCGGCTCGGATATTTTCACTGTAAATTACCCCCGCGGTTATCGATTCTAATAGAGATAAAGAGTTGGATAGAGATTCGAAAGAAAATCGATCTCCTCGAGTCGAAACGGAATAAAGTTGAAGAATAAATACGCGCAATAAAATTTAAGGGACGTTCGTCCTTACGATACCAAGCCGAGGGTCTCTCCTTATTTTAATCAGATCCTATCTATGCAAATATATACATCGGCATACAAGCTGACCCGACCTGAGACACCGAGTATCCGATAAGCGGTGGAACTGCATATCCGATTTGAAATGGAAATCGATACGGAAACAAGGCTGATATCGACCCGTTTCGGTTTCCCTTCCGGCTCGAACATTCATCACTTTGCTTACTTGGACACCGTAATAGATTTCTCGAGATCTGTTCGGCTG